TTTCTAAGCTGAAGTTTGGGGAAAAATAACCCATCAACTGTACATTACGTATATAAATAACAGTTTCAGGGTCATTGAGGTCCTTGGGTACAGCATTAATCTGAGCCATTTTTCTGCTATACTGTTTATCACTTGGTTGATCTTCATTTACACAATAACAGCAGGTAGGAAAAACTGAAAACTAGAAAACTGTATAAATAGCATGAAAACCAGTTGCCACCTTATCTGAATTTTTAAAAAACTGAGGTACATTTTTACATATAGACTGTATAAAAATCACGGACCTAGGCATTATGTTTTCATGTTGTCCATCCATACCATTCTTGTGAATGCGATGTCTCACCTCACGGGAATTTCTTCAAATTTAGCACAAACGTTCGCTGACTGTATAGATCCTCTTTGCCAGGGGAAAATGTGTGTGAAGCATCCATGTTTTCACAAACATAGAGATAAACTGTAACTGCAATTTGACTGGTGCACTGAGCCATACAACTGCAAGGCAGTAATTCTTTTTTGGGGCTGGACGTGACCATATTTGGATGATAGGGTGGAGCTATGAAGGAGCAGGGGTGTGGTGATCCCTCACAGACATCCTGTCACTCAAAGAGGCCACACTCTTAAAAATGCAAAACTTAAAGCCATAATAAGATGTAAATGGGTGAGTAACATAAAAATTCAGCCCTTGTACAGTTGTCATGATAGCACTATGGAGAGTGACTCGCTCTTGGAGCTAGCCTCAAGTGGCCAATAGAGGAAATGCAATTTTTTGGCACTTTACACTTTGGACTCATTGCACTTTGAATAACGAAGCACATTTACAGTGTGTAAATTTTAACCTTACAGCAATGGTGTATAGTAAGAAAAAAACATATAAAAAATAAATATTAGACTCAAAATAGCCACCTGCTAGCTATTCTTTCACAAGTTACCTTTGCAGATTTGACCATAAACCAGTAATATTTATTTCATAGGAGCAAGGGACATAATGTTTCCTGTGGCAAAAAATAAATAAAAGCACATATTCTGCCAAAGATTAGAGAATCATTAATATGAAGTGATATTAACCTGGGATTTTCAATTTATTTTTGATGAGCAAACCTTAAAGCTAGGATAGGCAGCTCTCCCTCTTATGTCCTAAGCCCCTCCCACCAAACAGCATATATACAAGCTTAAGTCCCAACCCTCACCTATGGCAGGGGCGGACTGGCCATCTGGAGGTTCTGGAGAATCACAGAACGGCCGGCGGCCGCCACGCAGTCATCACCGTTTTGTTTTGTTTTTTTTCCTTCCTAATAATCTACTGTTCCACGTCCAGTCCGCTAGGTGGCAGCCTTTAAATTGGATGCCCATAGATATCTATGAGCCGGCTGGCCGCCAATCAAATTGAAGAAGAAGGAAGCGCATACCGTATGCGCACCGGTTGTTGTGGGCTGGGCCGAGTCAAAGTCCAGGGCTGTTTTTTAGTCCCAGTCCGCCCCTGACCTATGGTCATGAGCTCTGAGTAGTGACCAAAAGAATGAGATCACTAGCTATGTTTCCATCCAAAAGTGATTCGAATCATTGGGAAATGCTCATTAAAAGAAATACGAATCCTGTGTGTTTCCATTAAATGTACAGACTTTGGTGAAAACTACGAACTCACGCGAGTTTTCCCCAGAACCGGAAACAAAACAAGTCTTGCAGTCTTCTTCTTCTTCGTTTTCTGGCGGTTGGCAACCAGCTTGTAAATGCATTACTGTCTTCCTGACCCGGTGTGTGGATATCACCATGGAGAGAGGTGCGCTACATCAGACTTTATTCGAACATGTTTCCATCCAACGTTTTGCGAATCAGCATTTTTTGGAATCAACCAAAACCCGGCTAAAGCAAGCGTATTTTAGTTTGTGCGGATCAGGGGATTTTAGTTTGAATTTTCGCGTTTCCATCATAATTTTCTGATGCAATACTTCTAGATGCGCATCTAAACAGGCTGATGGAAACATGACTACAGATACAAGCGGCGGAAATGAGTTCCTTCATGGAGTGGCTGAGCTCAGCCTTAGAGAAAGGGTGAGGAACTTGGACATCCGGAGGGAGCTCGAAGTAGAGCTGCTGCTCCTTCGCGTCAAAAGGGGTCAGTTGAGGTGGTTCGGGCATGTCCCACTGGTAGGAGGCCTCGGGACAGACCCAGAACACGCTGGAGGGAGTACGTATCTCATCTGGCCTGGGAACTCCTTGGGGTCCCCCAGGAGGAGCTGGAAAGCGTTGTTGGGGAGAGTGATGTCTGGGGTGCTTTTCTCGGTCTGCTGTCCCCGCAACCCGGCGACGGATATGCAGGTGAAAATGGATGGAAACAGTTACCCAGTGTTTCCCCACTGATTTATTTGATCTCATTTCATTCAAGAGTTGTGCGCAGCGCACTCACTCAGCCCCTCCTTACCCTGATGGTTATAGCACATTTTGCCAGCACAACCCCCTCAGTGCCAGGTGTCACAGCAGGCTGGTGACCAGCTGTAGCGATGGGTCTAACCTGTGCAACAGCAGCAATAGAAAGTTTGCTAATCCAGTCGGGGTCGAAGCTACCTGGTCCCACCTGAGCTGGGGTTTGTGCTGGCTGGATTTGGGTTGCTGTGGCCACTGCCTGGGGTCTGTTTTCAGAGCTGCTGCCCACTTTGCGTCTGGGGAGGTGGAGGACACACTGTGATTCAAGGCTGTAGCTAACATTAGGTACATAAATAGAAACTTGAATTAGCTGCAGCGGTTAGCAGAGGGCTAAACTAGTAACAACGTTTTCTCTCCATCTCTGAAACACTTCCTTGATACTGACACGTTTTATTTAGTTTATTGTCAGACTGTCTTTTAGACTCTCTTTTTGATAAGTCTGTCTTCCTTTTTTGGGTTGTGTTGCAGTGTAGGCAGTTGTTGCCAATGTTGGAATAGTAGCTTTCTCTGCAGGATGTTCCACAGTTGAATCAGGCTTTCAGGAAAGTGCACATGCATCTGCATTTGCAGAACAGCTGAACATCCTCACTCTGAAATCTTCTATAATTGGCCAAAGTCTCCCATTACGGTCTAGATTGATTACAACCTAAAACAGAGCCAAGAGGAGGTGCAGAAGCCTAGTTGTCTTGAATTACACTATGCCCAAAGTTTATAAAGAGATTTTTTTCAATGACACCAAAATACACATAGCCCTCCATCAAATTGACATTATTTTTTGAGTGAGTTTTGAGTTAGCCATTGACTTAACCTTGTCCTTATGCTTTCCCCCAACTGTTTCACTCAACTGTTAGCACCTCTTTTATATTAAGCAAATGATGCTTTGTGTGGCAAAAAAACCTTGTGTTCAATTGAAGTGCATAGGAATAGAGATAATTCTACTCAATACAAAGATAGGATTCATCACAGACAATATTTGGTAATGCAATGGTGTGTACTTAGGTTTTTGAACATGTGAGTGTGGGTGTGTGCCACCATCTGCGAGTGTATACGTGTGCTGTACAGATGTAGATGTGTGGGTGTGAGCCAGCAAGGAAAAAAAGGATAATCTCAGTTTATATTGGAAAGCATGCTGTTTTTTTATTTCATGCTGTTTATCTGCATGTTTGTTCTGAATAATAATATTGAATAATGACACTGCATGAAATGATGTGTAAATGTGCACAGTGGTATGCTGAATTCATTTGGAATCCTTCCTATTTTAGACTGTTGACTGTCTTTGTCTGAGTTATTACACTCCATGACGGAAAGATTATCACATGTGAAACAATGCATACATAAAATTGCAGGTGTGCCGTTTTCTCTACAGTAACAACAAGGGAGAAGACTGTGTCATATGTAGCAGGATGGAATGATTCTATTTTATTCGACGACTGAGATATGCTCATTTATGATCGTCGCATAAAAATACCGCTCATCACCACAGTCCTTCTGGTGGCCCGCTGTTACAGCTCGCACCTCGTCTCTGAGCACCTGCTGTCTAATGCTCTTCACTTGAGTTATTGCACTGTATTCCCTGATCACAGGAAGACATTATGATTGCAGAATTATCTACACCTGAGTGTTCTATCCACCTAGAGAAATGGATCTGAATCACATGACGTCCCAGACAGAGGCCGCTCTTGTCTTCCTGAGGGCCGATAACTGACAGGCTCCATTATGGAGCAAATTGTACAAGACAAACACAAGATGAATGCCACTGATGATGGAGTGTATATTGCTTTGAATAAAATGTCAATATTCAGATGCTTTATATATCCCTTGGAAACACAGTTATTGTAACCTGATTGCCTTTAATTTCTTGGATTTTTGTCTCCTAAGCCACCTTTCTAACTTGTAATAATAAAGTTGTCGGAGGTAGGACTAGTCATTGTTTTACTAATCACAAGTTTCAAGTCCTTGCACTCAGGTCAAGTCAGGTCAAGTCAAGTCCAAAGTCAAGACTGACAAGTCCCACAACAAGTCTTACCTTTGAGTTCCAAGTCTTAAACAAGTCATAATGTGCTCTTTACCTAAGTTCCATTTAAAGTAACAAAAGTCATGAATGCTTTTAAAATCTGTATTTATCTGTTAAACAAGTGAGACTGAAGTTGCTGACGTTGCACTTTCATCACGATTAACTACTACCACAATTAGCACAATACAATAGCACCCGCATTAGCTCAATAACTATGTTAATTTGCCTCAACTACTTCCATCGTTCTTTGTGAAACTTCAGATGTTGAATTAAGTTGGAAAATGTTGTGTCTCTGCCTGTAATTTTCCATTCACCTGTTTTGCATACTTTTGCATATTGTTTGTTGACAACTTCAGAGTTTTTGTGTGTGAGCAGAGTGAAAACTCATCCGTTAACACTGCATAGTTGGGATTGTAGCTCCCCAACAGATCGTTAAATCTGTTTTGCACCTGATTCTATGGTCTTTCAGAGGGGTCTGTTGAATTAATGATAACGTTTGAAAAATAATTAAGTTTATGAATATTACCTTACCTCATCTGTCTATATTTTTCTGTTTCTCACTCAGGTTCCTATGTATGACTCTACCATGGACCACATCATCTGCTACCTGCTGGTCCTGGGATCCACAGTGATGATCACCCATGCATGCCCCAAGTACTGTGTATGCCAGAATCTGTCCGAATCCCTGGGGACATTGTGTCCCTCCAAAGGCCTTCTTTTTGTGCCTCCGGACATTGACCGCAGCACGGTGGAGCTCCGTCTGGGAGGCAACTACATCCTCCGCATTACGCAGCAGGACTTTGCCAATATGACCGACCTGGTGGACCTGACCCTCTCCAGGAACACCATCAGCTACATTCAGCCTTTCTCTTTTGGTGACTTGGAAACACTACGCTCGCTTCATCTGGACAACAACCGCTTGGTGGAGCTAGGCCCTGATGACTTGCGAGGCTTGGTCAACCTGCAGCACCTCATCGTTAACAATAACCAACTGGGACGCGTCCATGACAAGGCCTTTGAGGACCTGGCACCTGCCTTGGAAGATCTGGATCTCTCCTACAACAACTTGATGTCTTTGCCCTGGGACTCAGTCCGCCAGATGATTAACCTGCACCAGCTTAGTCTGGACCACAACCTTCTGGACTTTATTCCAGAGGGGACTTTTACTGACCTAGAAAGGCTGGCGAGATTGGACCTGACCTCAAATCGCTTGCAAAAGCTACCCCCAGACCCCATCTTTGCCCGTGCCCAGGACTCAATGATTCTGACTACACCTTATGCTCCCCAGCTGTCTCTAAGTCTAGGTGGGAACCCACTGCATTGCAACTGTGAGATGCTGTGGCTGCGCAGGCTTGAAAGAGACGACGACCTGGAAACTTGTGCCTCCCCTCCTGCTGTGAAGGGTCGTTACTTTTGGAATGTGAAGGAGGAGGAGTTTTTGTGTCAGCCGCCTCTTATTACCCAGCACACCCACAGAATGCTGGTACTGGAGGGCCAAACGGCCAGCTTAAGGTGCGAAGCAACTGGAGACCCTTCTCCTACCATCCATTGGATCTCCCCTGATGATCGGCTGCTTGGCAACTCCTCCCGAACCGCAGTGTACAGCAACGGAACCCTGAGCATCACAATCACCACCTCGAAGGACTACGGCACCTTCACCTGCATCGCTGCTAATGTGGCCGGGGAGTCCACCGCCTCTGTGGAGGTGTCCATCGTTCAGCTCCCGCACCTCAGCAACGGCACTGGTCAGCCAGCACCACCGAAGTCACGCCTCTCTGATATCACAGGGACCACTAGGATCAGCAAGGGCGCTCCCAAGAGCCAACCAGAGAGGACTGTGTCCGTCTCTGAGGTGACAGCTGTTTCAGCGCTGGTCAAGTGGACAGTCAGCAAGTCATCTCCCAAAGTGAAGATGTACCAGCTCCAGTACAACTGCTCTGATGATGAGGTTCTCATCTACAGGTAAATATCTGCATATTCTTTTAGGAATCTTGAAGTGTAGCAGTAAGCTATGACAGTGAACTACAATACCGTGATCCTGAAACTGATGCAGCTAAGTGGAATTCTGCCATCATTGTTACTATTTAGACCTGTGCTTTTCCTGCTATCACTTCTCAAAATATCCTCTTTGAAAAAGGCTTGTAAATAGACTGTCAAATGAATGAAGTGGGAGGCCTGATTAGTGGAAATTAGGTGCAGATGTGCAGGCAGATATTGATCAGGGACAACTTCTATACAGGATTGGTTGAGCAGGATCTGGAATGGAAAATGCAGAAAAGAAAGAAAAACTTAATCACGCTCTCACTCTTACACTCACCATGCACTACAGACCCAGTACCAAACCATAGGCAAAGTTAGGAACTGGCTTGTGAACATAGTGAAATGTCTCAGCCCAGTTGGCTGAATAAAATATTGGCATTGTATTTTTCTGTAAATTATAAATACTTTATTGCGTGTTTCATACATATACGCATTTCTAGAGTAAGGTAGTATATAAACAACATATACTGAAGAAACATATATTGCCAGCATTTTCTCTTGCAACTGGGTTGAACATCTAGTCTCTTAGAAATTGGTGGAGAACAAATCAGACCTAAACAGAGCGTGATTGTTTAACACTTCATAAGGTGGCCATAAAAAACAACTCCAGATGAAAGCTGATTTGTGTCTGCTAGATGCTTTAATTAGTAATAGTTTGGTCAGACATTTGGCATAATAACTAGATGATAAGATGATCATATAGTCAAGTCAGTTTATTTATATAGCACATGTAAAAACAGCAAGTGCTGACCCAAAATGCTTTCCAGTGGAGGCAGACAGGTTAGGACCTGCCTCGATAAAGGTGTATATATGATTAAAGAAATAAAGGTGCATAAAATACAATATTACACTAAAACAATAATAGAGAAAAAACACAATACTAGAAACTGAATAAAACCAAAAACAGTTTATAGAACACTTAGAGGGCATCAAAGAAAAAAAAAATTGAGGCTGTCGAGTGGCATTTGTCATGTCCCCTTTTAATTTTTTTAAAAGCAAGTGAAAAAGTTGCGCCTTTAAATCAGATAATTAGATAATTCACTAATATAATTATAATTGGATTAGATATATCAGATAATGTGTTTTCTGCTTGGTCCACTGCCCCCCAAGTGGTCAAAAAATCAGTTTGATGCTGTTAATCCATTCAGTTTCACCAGAAACATGTTGAGAAGCTGTCTGGAAGAGCTTTCTGTCTCATTTAAAACGGCAGCAGCCTTATGCATTTTGGAAATTACATTTGTCATTATGGCAGTGTCAATATTGTTTCAATATTTGTTCAGCACTGAGTACATCATCATTACTGGTAGATGAGGAGAGAATGGCATGGAGGGAAGAAGTCACGGCATCTGAATGAGAGGCTCAGCACAAAACTAAATACACAGAATGTTGAGTTTTTGAGAGGAATCTGGTCTCAGATAAAGATGGATGCATTTTGCTTAAACATGAATGATGTCTATTTACAGGATGCAGTGTTTACAGAACAAAACAGCCAGACCTCCCTGTAGAATCAGTGTATTCAGAGCTTTCTATAATGTTTAACAATGATGTTGCACATCCAAAGAGATTCATCCAACATCCAATATACTGTATATATATATATCTACATTGTCCATCAAATTGTTTGACAGCAATGAAAACAGCTCTTTCCTCTTCTTCATCACCTTTTCATCATGTGATGAAGCACAGTTCTGGGCTGTACTGGGCTCCATTATGCTCAACGGTCCAGAACCGGAGCAATTTCTAAGCTGAGGAGGCAGGGCTTTCTGTCAATCCAGCAGCATTTGATGGGGATGAAACTGTATTAGATGAGGCTTGTATTCCACCGCCACCGCCTCTAAAACGAATGTGAAACCAGCCAGAAAAAAATCCAATTACTTAATGCCATTTAAATCTCATCTCAGAACTGTGGAAAGCAAGATATTTAGAGCTGTACCCTCAGGGCTGTGGTGGCCACCCTTTTGTTGCAATATTTCCCTTCATTATGAAGCATATTTTCTTTCTTGTTTCACCCAGTGTGTGTTCTATTCAGCATTCATATTTTTGATGTTTTTTTGCACAAAACATTTTCATTTGAAAATCAACATTTTGATTCTAAATATGTGTAAAGGTTATATTATATAATTGACAGTATTCATGTTATGTAAATATTGAAATGACGTATGCACCAAGCCACACAGGAGTTAGAGAAATGACAGCTGTTGTAAAGTCAAATCCTAATTTCATTTTAATTATGTATAAGGGCAACACACATTAATCATTAATCACATCAACATTTCTGTAAATGTGCCAGTGTGCCAGCTGGTTCAGTTTTTAACTGAAGTCCTTGTGTGAGATGTATTAAAACCAGTGAAGTGATGGACAACAAGATGCCAAATAAGGGCAACAGAATACAAATCTCAAGAGCTAGAACTGTTTTCTAACACATGCAGCCATGAAGAGCAGCCATGCTTGACAATTATAATGTTGGTCTTGATGTTACAATATACTGTTACAAGGTAGTAAAATGATGATATCATACATCTAATACATAAGCCATGCATCACATTTTTAAGGCCCGATCTTCCACCTGGCACAAAGGAGGCCTTAAATGCAAGACTGTACACACAAAAGCCGGTTAAGTCAAAAAGGTTAACTTAACAGGCTGGGTTCGGTACTACGGAATAAGTCCACTAACAAGCAGAGGTATCCAAAAATGCTTGGCTAAGATATTGTCAAAAATACAACACAAGATAAAAAACCAAAAGACGTTCCAAAAAGAGATAAACGCTGGAACACAGACACAATGGAACTAAGACAAACTGGCACAGGGAACAGGGAAAAATGCATGCTCCTTCTCAAAGTCATGAATGCTTCCTTGGTAGGACAGGTCCTACGAAGTCAGGCTCTACAGAGATTAAGCAAGACTTCTTCCTTGCATTTGATTTGATACAGGTTTCAAGGTATACCATGACATATAAGTTGACGGTTATCATACCTTGTAAATTTGCTTATCTGTGATATTGAAATACTGATTAAACTGGACGTTGAATCTCCTCTTTATTTTAGTTATTTTCTAAGGGCAGACTTTTTACACATACTTCCATTAACAAAATGGTTTCTAGTTTGAATTATAGAAATAAAACGTTTGTTCAACCAACAACAACCCATGATACCATGAAACCGCAATATTTTCTGAGACGATTATTGTACTGTGAAAATCTCGTACCGTTGCAACCCTAGTGGACGTTGAAGTGCCCAGCTGTGCGTCATTAAAGACAATCAGACAAATTGTGCGCTAAAAGGTGTGGGTACTTCATGCCCACTGAGGACATACACATGCATTCTTGAAAATTCTCTTAAGGAAGGACACAGTCCTTGGTAGGAGTCAAAGAATCCACAGGATTTGATGATGTAGCCTCCTTGAAATTCAGCCGTTTAAGGACCCTTCTTTGACTTTTAGAAGCACCACAGACTAAATACACAAGGGAGGAAGGGTAATGAGTGACAGGTGAAACTAATGACACAATCACACAGGCACAGAAGGGCAGGAAGTGAAGTTATCTGAAATGAGACAAGAGGTGAGTATACAAAACAAACAGGATATGATAACTGATAAATACAAACAGGAAAAACAATGTAATCCACACAGTGGGATGTGACAAACTGTCATTGCTTGTTTCAGTTTGACGCATTTGTCAGTTTCATGGCCAGTGTCCAAGTTGTTTAAGTAGCACCCATCTAAATTATATGCCCATGGGGCTGTGGGTCTTAAAGTGAGGTGTGGTCAGATGCATTGTTCATGTGTTGCTATTTTGAGGCAGCAGAAAGTGATTGTGCCATTGACCAACAAAAAGCTGGTCTAAAGTCAGAATGGTAGACTATTTTCCTGTTATTTAAAGGGCACATTATTCAGATAGTAAAATGCGCAGGTGGGTAAAATAATATGTTATAAATGAGAAAGTCACTAAAATGTGGACGTAGCAGAGATCAGAGCAGAGCTGCAGAGCTGCAGAGCTGCTGTCTGACTTCCCATAAAGAGAGACGCTGTGCACATTTATGCAAAAAGAGCAGCATAACTTCATTGGTTATTTCAGAAGCTAAAAGTTCAGTTCTATTTCCTCTGTCAAGTTCATAACTATAGCTTTTAGTTTTGTTGCTTAAATGTCCCACAGTGTGCCAGGTGAATTCAACACCTATGATTAATTAAGGGACTAAATACAATCCCTTTACCCCTTGAGTCTTACTTTGCGCCCAGATTATGCGCCATTTAACTGTCAAAAGTGAAGCTGGACATGCCTTAAATGCTCTTGCACAATCCACTTACTTACCATGCAACATATATTGTTTAAATAGGGTCCACAGACACAACTATAGAAACTCATACCACACTGTCAAATTAAGTACTAGTAAATATGTCATACATACCCACGCAAATCCGTTAATCTGGGAGTGCAAAAAGGAAAGGGGATAAATCAGCTGAAAGTCAGACAGTCTTGACAATAATAATCATAATTAGCAATGTACTTTGTAGATTCAAAATGTTCACGTCTGTCTTTTCAAAAGCTAGGCATTGAGACTTAGTGTGACGGTATGGTAGCCGGCTAAGTTTCATAGTTCAGTGCACCCGGTGTTCCACAGGGTGAGAACCTCTTACAGTGACTGAAGAAGGTGTAGGGTGTTACACAGTCCCCTCTCACAGCAGAACTTATGGATGCACATGTTAAAAACAGTATTTAAACTATAAATATATAATTCACAGGTACAATGGATGTTCGTGTTACAGGGTCGTTGCACAGGAATTGTCCCTGATAAAATGAGACTGATGTTACTGTAAGTGTTTATCAGAAAAACAGCCCGTGGAAAGAAATTGTTTTTGTGTCAGGCTGTTTTAGCATACAGTGTTCTGTAGAGGAGAGAATTTCAAACCATTAGAATAATCATTA